AGCCAGACTATCCCTGTGCCCACTTCTATGGAATAAGGATTAAGTCTTACAGAGAGAAACCAACACCTTTCCCTTTTTTTAATGAAATAATTAAGGGCAGGAATGAGCTAACTGGTTTATAAAGAAGGGACTGTCAAGTGCCATTTTTCAAGATACTATGTACCTCAGCAGTCAAATGCCCTATAATTCAGTGAGTGCCCAAAAATGTACTCAGCACCAGATATAGAGTATGAAAAACCCCACTTTCATTTTTATAACCCTCACCGAGTTATCTCACTAACTGCCTACCCACTAACTGCCTCCATCTAAACAACGAAACATAATATTCCGACCCTTTAGCCAACTCTTATTCTGAGTACTAGTCGCAGATCTCCTAACTCTAACATGAATTGGAGGCCAACCCGTAGAACACCCATACATAATTGTAGGCCAATCAGCATCCATCTTATATTTTCTCTTAATCCCTAGTGTTAATACCAGTAACTAGTCTTATCGAAAATAAACTCCTAAAATGAAGAGTCTTTGTAGTATAACAAAATACCCCGGCCTTGTAAACCGGAAAAGGAGAAACTCACACCTCCCTAAGACTCAAGGAAGAAGCATTAAACCTCACCACCAGCACCCAAAGCTGAAATTCTACATAAACTATTCCTTGAAAAGGTTTATTGTAGAATAACCACCAGGCTACAGTACTATGTCAGTATTGAAAATAATTTATTTTATAATACTTTTGTTGTGTAAGTCATATACACATGCATGTCCACATATCAATAATAGTGTCTTCCTGTAAATGTATACATATACATGCTATGTATTACTGTGCATTCATTTATTTTCCCCACTAGCAGTTAAAGGTCATATTAAATTTTATTAATTTTACATATTACATAATATTATTGATCGTACATAGGACATGTCATTAACGGTGATCTTTATAAGACATCTGGTTCTTACTTCAGGACCATTTTAACTTAAAATCGCCCACTCGTTCCCCTTAAATAAGACATCTCGATGGGTTAATGACTAATCAGCCCATGCTCACACATAACTGAGATTCCATACATTTGGTATTTTTTATTTTTTTGGGGGGGCCTGCACAGACTCAGCTATGACCTTAAAAGGTCTCGTCACAGTCAAGCAAATTGTAGCTGGACTTGTATGTATTTTTTATTTGACTAGCACAACCAACATGTGCAATTAAATTAATGGTTACAGGACACAGTACTCCACTATTCCCCCCAGGCTCAAAAAACTGTATCTCGTAGTGGATCAAACCCCCCTTACCCCCTACAAAACTAACCATCTGCTTAGATATTCACCACCCCCCTAGACAGCTTCGTCCCTAGATCTACGAACAATTTTTTTCATAAATCAATACTAAATCTGATACAAGCCCCATAATGAAATTATACGAACATCTTTTACACCCCATGGGTTAATGTAGCTTAAATTTTTTCATAAAGCAAGACACTGAAAATGTCTAGATAGGTGGGCTTCGCCAGCCCCATCAACATAAAGGTTTGGTCCCAGCCTTACTATTAATTCTTAACAGACTTACACATGCAAGCATCCACATCCCGGTGAGAATGCCCTCCAAATCACAAAGATCAAAAGGAGTGGGTATCAAGCACGCTACACTAGCAGCTCACAACACCTTGCTTAGCCACACCCCCACGGGACACAGCAGTGATTAAAAAGTAAGCCATGAACTAAAGTTTGACTAAGTCATGTTAACTAGGGTTGGTAAACTTCGTGCCAGCCACCGTGGTCATACGACTGACCCAAATTAATAGAGACACGGCGTAAAGAGTGTTAAGGAATCATACAAAATAAAGTCAAATCCTAATTAAGCTGTAAAAAGCCATAATTAAAACTAAGCTAAACCACGAAAGTGACTTTAGTACAATCTGAGTACACGACAACTAAGACCCAAACTGGGATTAGATACCCCACTATGCTTAGTCGTAAACTAAATAGTCACAAAACAAGACTATTCGCCAGAGTACTACTGGCAACAGCCTAAAACTCAAAGGACTTGGCGGTGCTTCATATCCCTCTAGAGGAGCCTGTTCTGTAACCGATAAACCCCGATTAACCTCACCAACCCTTGCTACTTCAGTCTATATACCGCCATCTTCAGCAAACCCTAAAAGGGAGCGAAAGTAAGCATAACTACCATACATAAAAACGTTAGGTCAAGGTGTAACCTATGGGATGGGAAGAAATGGGCTACATTTTCTATATTAAGAACACCCCTTATATCCACACGAAAGTTTTTATGAAATCTAAAAACTAAAGGAGGATTTAGTAGTAAATTAAGAGCAGAGTGCTTAATTGAATAAGGCCATGAAGCACGCACACACCGCCCGTCACCCTCCTCAAGTATCACAGCAAAGCCCCAGCTCACTAACCCATGCTAAGCAACTATACGAGAGGAGACAAGTTGTAACAAGGTAAGCATACTGGAAAGTGTGCTTGGACAAAACAAGATATAGCTTAAACAAAGCATCTAGTTTACACCTAGAAGATTCCACGATCCGTGTATATCTTGAACCATACCTAGCCCATAGCCCCTCCCACCGCTACTACCATAAACTAATCAAATAAAACATTCACCATACATCTAAAGTATAGTAGATAGAAATTTAATCACCAATGGCGCTATAGAGAAAGTACCGTAAGGGAAAGATGAAAGAAATATTAAAATTAAAAAAAAAGCAAAGCTTACCCTGGCTACGGAATCGTAAGACTCTTTCTGGGTTAGCACAGGTATGAAAGGCAGTCTACTTCTTTTCATTCCTTTCATAAATAATACATCTCAATGCAACTGAGCATCTTCACACACTAAATGTTACTAGTATTAGTGTTATTTATTCTCTAATAGTGATATGACAACTGTATTTTAATCCAAAATATAGGTACCAAAAGAAAGAAAAAAATTAAATTACACTGGTTTCATTACTTCAAGAATTATGAAGTACTTCCATCAAATCACCTTATTTAATAATCATGACAATGCTTTGTGCTGGCTTGTCAGGCAGTGTGCTTTGACTTTTAGGGGAACTAGCTCATTTGTTCTCCATAACAATTCATTAAATCTACATAAGACCTACGAGGTGAGCACGAATTTCCTTATATCACAGATGGAGCAATTAAAACAGTGGAAGCGGGCTTCCCAGGTGGCGCAGTGGTTGAGAGTCCGCCTGCCGATTCAGGGGACAGGGGTTCGTGCCCCGGTCCGGGAAGATCCCACATGCCGCGGAGCGGCTGGGCCCGTGAGCCATGGCCGCTGAGCCTGCGCATCCAGAGCCTGTGCTCCGTAACGGGAAAGGCCACAACAGTGAGAGGTCCGCGTAAAGCAAAAAAAAAAAAAAAAAAGTGGCAGCCAGTAATGAAAAAATGGCTAGCTGACTCTAGAGCTGCAAACTCTTGGAAACTATGCTTTGATGCCTTGTAGAGAAAGATTATTCCCATTTTAGAGATAGGGAAAATGAATTTTGGTTTCTTAGGCAGCGTCAAGTGAGTGGTAAATTCAGCACTCAGATTCTGAGTTAATGTTCTGACTTAATCCAGTGCATTTCCCATTTCACTACAATGTCTCTTTAACATTAAAACCTTACATTTGTGTACAACTTTCCATCTTAGAAAAACATAGCATTAAAATTTAACAACCCTGTGAAGGATGTACCATTCGTAACTTACAGACGATGTAAGGAGTGATCACAACAGGTTGGTAAATTAGACACGGTAAGTTTAGATAACTGTAATGTAAACCATGTCTTGAGATCTTATTCAGTCAAATTTAAAGCTCTAAAAGTAAGAAAGCAAGCGTCTTCTATGTTTAAGAGGCAAGGATCAATTTCAATCCTAGTAGGTTGTCTTTGATCATCTCAGCACATCTCCAATATATCCTGGAGCAGTTTGTTTTCATCTGTATTACAGTTTCTGTATTTTCTCTCACTTATAAGTATCTGAGTTCCTTGTTTGTAGAGACGAGGGACTCAGCCTACCTGGCATGTAGTAGCCACTCAACAAATGATGGAAAACCATCCTGAAAAAACCTAACATTACTGTTAGCCCTCGGTGATGTACAGGGGTCGATTTACATCACCCCAAGCAGGACCGTCCTAACCATACGCCCCTCTTTGGTATCCGATTTAAATGCAGCCCCAATGAATGAAATAAAACTGCAGGTGCCACGGTAAACCAGAGCACGGTAAGAAAACAAGCACTAGGGAGAACCGAGGACCAAGCGGGGCCCGACCCGGCTCGCGCGAGTAGACGCGGTCGAGGATGCCGGGCGGGCCGCTCCCTGGTCCAAGGTCTGGAGAAATGACGCGTCTCTCCGCACCGGCGACGGCAGCAGAGGGTGGTCCCGGCACCGCCCGCGCCCCCGGGCCGGCCAAAGCGGGTCACTCACCCCGAACACAGGCTCCGTGGGGCCGCCCCCAGGGCCGCCGAGTTTCGATTCCCCAGCGTTTGGAAACGGACCAAAAACAAACCGGGTCGCTAGGGGTCACCGCGGGCTTCCTGTTTCCTCAAAGACAGCGCCGCTTCCCCGGCAAAGGCAGCCGCTCCGGGAACGCCGCGGAGGGACTCCCATTTCTCCCGCCTCGGTGGCGCCAGGGCCGGCGCCGCCGGCCAGTCGGCTACAGCCCGGGAGGCTCTGGAAGGAGGGCCGAGCCAAGGCCGAAGGCCGAGCCACCGCCGGAGAAGGCCGGTTACCCGGCCCCGTCAGCGCCCGCCCTAGCCCCGCGCCGCACAGGGGGAGCGCAGCGACGGGGCCGGCCAGGAGGGCGTCCTACTCACGACCGGAAACGGGGCCTCCAGTAATCCACGGCTCGGAGCCTGGGCCGCGCAAGCAAACCGGAAGTCAGGCCGGAGGAAGATGGGAGGGCGTTCGCCAAGCCAGTGCTGGGGCTGGGTGGGGGAAAAGTGCGCAGAAAAGGAGGGCGCAGCGTACTACGCGCCCCGTGAGCCTCCGCCGCCGGGTGGGCGGGGCCGGGGCGTGCTACGTGTCGTGAGCATACGCAGCAGGGTGGGCGGGGCCGCGGCGTACTACGTGTATAGTGAGCTCCCGCGACTGGACTGGCGCGGCCCCGGCGACGCGGGAGGCGGAGGCGGTGCGACAGTGTGGTAAGACGTTATCCGTCTTGGCGGAGGTTGAGTCGCTGGCCTCCTACAGCGCCGTCTTTTTCCCTCAGCGTCCGCTTGTGGGTCCCCGAACGCTGCAGTGCGTGTTGGCTCCGCATAGTAGCGCTCTTGTGGGTTTCTAGTTCTCGCCTAGCCGTGGCCGGGAACTGGGGACCCGTGACGATTCGCGCCTGCGGGGGAGCTGTTAACAGCCCGACTAGTTTCGGGGCGTTGCTCCGGGTCCCCTAGTTATTCCGCACACAGCTCTTGTTAACATTGTGGAAGCTGTTGACTTCGGAGGGTGGTACCGGCTGCGCCAGGTAGAGGATGGACAGGCCTGAGCTGTGGCGTCACGAGTAGTTGAGTTGGGGGCCGTCCTTGGAGGTCGCAGGCAGACGGAACCCCTCCAGCTGTAGGCCTATTTTTGATTAAACGAATAAAGGAGAAAATGGTTAATTATAGGGCATTTATCCTTACTGACTGCCAGTTAGCAACAGTGATACTCCTCCCCAGCCCTTTCGACTAAGGACTTAAATATTGTTGGAGTCAGTGTTATGTTGGAAGATGTTTCTGCATCAATTTTTTAAAAAAATTAATTAATTTTATTTATTTATTTTTGGCTACGTTGGGTCTTCGTTGTTGCATCTGGGCTTTCTCTAGTTGCGGCGAGCGGGGGCAACTCTTCGTTGCGGTGCGCGGGCTTCTTTCTCATTTCGGTGGCTTCTCTTGTTGTGGAGCACGGGCTCTAGGTGCGTGGGCTTCAGTAGTTGTGGCACTCAGGCTCAGTAGCTGTGGCTCTTGGGCTCTAGAGTGCAGGCTCGGTAGTTGTGGTGCCCAGGCTTAGTTGCTCCGCGGCATATGGGATCTTCCCAGACCAGGGCTTGAGCCCGTGTCCCCTGCATTGGCAGGTGGATTCTTAACCAAAGTGCCACCAGCGAAGCCCCGCATCGCAGTTCTAATTCATCAACCAACAGTCAGCTCATCAAGAATGGATTCGGCTCTAGGGTTTACTTTAAAATATTTTTCTGTTGTTGTTAAGCCTCTCATTTTGCTTTAGATTTAAGTGAAAATTCACAGCTGTTATGAGCAAAGAGCACAACTTAAAGTGACATGACATTTAAAAAATACTTTAAAATCTGTATTAATGTAATCATTTAGAAAGATCCATTCACTTCAGTTTATCAGGCTGGGACGTAAGAGCAGTGTTTTTAATATTTTGGACAAGAATCTTTTTTCGATTAGCTTGGTAATGCGCTTTACAGAATAAAAGCAAACCACCAAGAGGTGTATTTTGCCTAGTTTTTGAAGAATGCTAACAAAATCGGTTGAGGCACCCCAAAATCATCAAAAGTAAAACGATAATCTGGTTTCTGATTTGTAGATCTAGAAATGTTGAATCTTTACTCACAATTTAGAATAATTTGAGACTTGTTGAAAAAGAAGGAAAATTCATTTTTATCTTTTCTCTCTGAGTAAATAAGATGACTTAGCTCAGTATTTTACTATATGTGATCAGTCTGTTTTCGTTTTAATAATACACACTTCCCTATTATAATAATGAAAAAAAGTGGGTCTTATTAACAATACTATTTGCTTATTCAGAATGCATAAGCCTATCAATTTAGTCAAGTAAAACATCCTAATTTTTTTTTGCCAGGGAATGGGGGCGGGGAGAGTCATACCCACGGTAGGTTATGGCAAAATGTAATACAGATATTTGTTAAATTGAGCTGAAATGGTCACTTTCTATCCACTTATGCATCCGCTTTAATTAAGTTTAGCAAATAAATTATTAAAGAAAACTTGCCACACTTATGCTTTGTTATAAGCAGAAGTTGAAGTTTTATTACAATCTTGCTGTAAGGAAAAAGACCTCCGATAAGTCAAATAAAAGATACAGTCTTGGTAGGGACATTTTATGGGAAAAGAAAATGGTTAGATAATTATCATTAAAGTAGATAACAGAAAGAAAGGAATTTGGGGGACATTAGACTCTTAACTAATAGTCAATTGCTTAGGTGAGTGGATGGTTTTCCAGAGCAAATCTTAATTCTATTAAAGTTTATTGGAAGGTTGCTTAGGCTTTTTTTTCAGGAATGTTCATTTCACCGCAAGAGAGGAGTTGTGAATTACAGTCATCCAAAAAAGCATCTGTACCGGCCAGGTTTGGGACAATTTTTTTTAAACCATTATTACATCTTCTATAACTACAAATGAAGTCTGAAATTTTCAAAACAATTCAGGTCTTTATAAACATATACTTGACACAAGGCACTTTTTAAAAGGTCCTGTTTTACAGGTTGTAGTAAACAAAAAAATAGGTAACACAAGATATTCTCCCCCACCCTGTCCCGCCTTCTCCCATCCTCTCACCAAGGTCCTGATATTTTCCATCAGGAGCTGCTCCTGAAGGATAGAGTGAGGACTGGCTTCAGTGAGATTCCCTTTACCCTGGGGTAGGTTGGATTCCAAAACAATATCTGAACAAAGAATATAGGCCCTGGCACAACTCTTGACTGTGGCTCAGCCTCCTTCTGTTTTTAGGCAACTGTGCATCATTAGAGCTGCTTCAAACCTTATTTTTTGTTTAATTAGGCACTATGTTAAAACAATGAAAAAAAGTGCTGTTGTGTTTTGTTTTTTTAGTGGGAGCTATATATTTCTAAGCTGTGACGAATATTTACTGTTAGAGGAAAGAGAATACATCTTTTGAGGAAAATTTGTAAAGCGAATTTTGGGTTAGTGATTTAAATTTTATATTAGTTTAATTTGATTAAATCATACCATCCTAGAGATCATGTTTTCTGTGTCTCTACCCTGTGTTTTGTGAGTACTGTGTACGTGTGGCTCTGCAGTGTCAGCAGGACAGAATTAAGATGTCAAAACCTTTAAGTTGAAATAGCAATGTCACTTTTCATATTAAAATCAGCTTCAATGTCATTTTGTCCATTAATGTCTTAAAAGCATTCTTCCTCTCTTCTCCCCCACCTATCACATGTCCAGGTTAAAAGCCTTAGGGTAAGGGAATGGTTTCAGTGGCAGAGATACAAAACAGATTCAAAAATACTACCAATAATGAAAAATCTGGTATCTGAGCCTACATAGTCTGTTTTCCTTCTTTCCTCCCATACCTCCTTGCTCATACTGCTACCCCCCCAACCAAAACACATACACACACACACACAGAATGTCGTGAATTGCAGAATCAAAGTTCATGATTTCTGTTACACTGTGTATCTGAATCTGTGAATATGCCTGAAGCAGCAGGCAAACTGGGCGTCATGGATCCCTAACCCTTAACCTTGGAAAGTACATGAAGGCTTTCCAGGGGGTTATGTAAATGATAGTTTAAGGGTATTAATTTTCACGCTGTTTACTTGCATGTTTCTTTCCTAAAATTGATCTGCCTCAGAGTGTGCCTAAACCAGGGCAGCTTTCCCCTTTCCTCTTTTGTAATTGTCCCTCTCCCACTCTACAATTAAAGCAATACATTTAATCTGACCTAAGTCTTGTTAGAAAGTAAATGATTCTAATAACTGGGTAGCTAATTGTTTCACAAGAGTAGTAATTTCCAATGGCTTTTGAAAATGCTTCAGAAAAACTCAATTGAGTTGTCAGCTGATCATTAAAAATAATTTTATGACATACCCCATGTGATTTTTGATACGTAATTTAGTAGTTCAGAAGAATGATTATTGATATAACCAGAAATCCTTCTGCTTCCAAATATTTGGAATGGAAGAACACAAAATGTAAGAATAGGATCAGCTTGAATCCTGTTTCTTCCTAACAACAAATAATATTCATTCTGATACATGACCTAAATGGGGGGAGAAGGTGCTATCCATTTCTGTATGAGATGCATTTCCAATAAAACTGACTTACAATATTTTATAATGATCATAATTTATATTGAGTTTCTCATTTGATCAGTAGTGCTCTAGTAAATTAATGATAATACAATACTGATGACAATTTTTAAAATTTATGTTCTCAGGAATTTTAAAATATACTCTTTTGTGTAGAGAAATATCAATTTAAGTATTTTCAAGCACTAAAATATGTTGCGATAAGCTTGTGTGGGGGAAGTGAGATAATATGAATTCAAGGAGAAAAGGAATAATATCAGTTTCCTAACTGTGGAAGGAGATCTTGTTCATGTGCTTTTCAAATGCATGGGTTGATAGTAGATATCAAATTACTATGGCATTTACATTCCATTTATAAAAAGAATATATCTTACTGTCTCTAGCAGCTAGCCTTATCCTGGACAGGCAATCTGTGCTTCATAATAACTTTGTGACTTGAAATGTTTGCAGTCAGTAGGAATTAGCTTCTGACAGCTTTCATTTTTTAAAAAATAAACATGAATGTCATAACTGTATGCATAGAAACTAAATGCAGTGACTTTCTTTTGGAAACATATGTAGGTGAAGAAAAATTTAATAGTCTTAGAAAGCCTTTGATGTAAGGAGTAGGGAGAAGAAATATGAGAAGAGCTAACAGAAGACCAGCAGCAGAGACCCCAGGATGGTGTTGGAAGATTGTACAGAGAAGGAAAAAAGATCCAGTAAGGGGAATTCTACACTTCTTCCTAAATGAAATAAGAGCAACCCTTCTCTGAGGCTTGATACTTACACTCTTACTATCTGAGATATGAATTAATTAGTTTATTCAATACTTAACAAATATTCATTCAGAACGTACCATGTGTCATTGTTTTAGGCACTGAGATGAAACGGGCAAAATAGCTTTTTAATGTATAAAGAAGTAAAATCTATCACAGAGAAGTCAGTCACATAGACAAGACCTATGTGAAATTTAACATGATGAGAAATTACTTCCCATTAATTTTTTTCATGACAGTTTCTATATATGCCTATGAAGAAAATAAACTTTTTCCCCTGTTTAAAATGGGAAGAGAGGAAGAAATAATTTTATTTTGTGACTGTCACATGTACACTATAAAAACCAAGAAGATAAAGTCAGCTTTTCAGAGGAAA